TCTCCTCCTTGGGCCCAGTACAGGAGCTGCAGCCCGGGCCCGAGGCTTCAACTGGGCTGTGTGCCTGGACCACGTGGCGCGCGTCCTGCTCCGCGCTGGTCCTTCCGCCGCCCCTGGTGTCCGGGCGGCGGCATCTGCTGTGGACTGTGCCCCCCTGGAGGTAGTGGGGGGGGCGGAAGCTCTGAAATCGACCCGGGCGGCGTGTGGGATGCCGCTCGGGGTCCTCCCCTCTCGGCCCGCAGTGGTAAGTGGGCCCCCTGCGGGGCACGCAGGTGGCTCTTGGCCGCTGCCGCCGGGTGGGGAGGGGTTCTGTATCCCCCTCATGGGCTCCCCCCCAGCCCCCCTCCAATGTTTCTCCCAATCTGTTGTGTCCCCACTTTCTGTGTGGTGTCTGCCTCCTTTCTTTTTTGTGTTCCTCCTTTCTTTTTTATTGTCCTCCCCCTTCTTTCTTTGTTGTCCTCCCCCCCCTTGCTGACCTTTTTGCCCCATCTCCCTCTCTCTCCTCCCTCCCTCTCCCTCCCTCCCACCCCCCTCTCCTTACCTGTCTCGGCAGCCTCCTGTCCTGGAGCGTTGGCTCTTCCTCTCTCCACTGCTGATTCAGGCTTTGGGTGCAGTTGCCGGATCCGTCCAGCAGGTGGCGTCTGAAGCTCCAGTTGCCATGGGAACTGCACTTCAGGTGATGGACTCCTCTTTTCAAGCTGCTGTCTCTTCTATGGTGCCGCCAGCAGTTCCTGGGGTGCCGTCATGTGAGTAATGTTTTCCTGCGCTGGCTTGGGTTTATTTAAAAAAAAAAAAAAATAATAATAATTTTCTACGACCTAACCACACACAAAAAAAATACAAATCAGAGTAACGGTCAGCCGCGCTCAGTGTAGTACCCTCCTGGCGCGACGGTGCGTCCACTGGTGGGTGGGGGGCAGTGCCCTCGGTCCTCAGCACGACAATTGGAGGGGAGATGGGCCTCTTCCTCATTGGGGGCTGTGCCCCCCTCCCCCCTGCGCAGTCGTGTAAGATATTCCCCTTTGGCCCTTGGGGGGGATGCTCTTCCCTTGGGGTACAAAGGGGGGTAGGACTCGGGCGGCGATGATGTAAAGTTCCGTTATAGGAAATTCCTAAGACGTTGGCGATTTGAGATTGGGGTTCGCTATTTTGGAGAGCGTGGTTGGGGAGAGGGCTGCGCAGTGTGGCGCTGTTTTGTTATCAGGACACCACTTGGAATGACTGTCATGATTATGGTGGCCTGGGTTGGTGGCGCTATGAAAAACATTTCATCAGCGCCTTGCGGTTTTGCCCTCTGTAGGTGGGATCAGATTGACTTCGGCCCCTGGTTCTCCATCGTAATCCGCCCGGCGGCGCATAAAGGGGGTTTGTCCTCGTTTCCTGGGGGGGCGGCTCCGCCCCAGCAGCCTCGCAGCAACGGCCAGGTTGTTGCGGGGAGTTGAATGTCAGCCGATGTAAGTCGGGTGGGTCGTGCTGTTTTAAGCTCAAAGGCTCCCATCGTGGTGGGGGCTCACTCTGCCTCCGGCTGTTTCAAGAGTGGTAAGTACCGGGAAAAAAAGGGGCGCAGGGCGGCAATGCCAGTGCTCATAAGTGCGATGCACCCATAGCTCGACCGCTACTGGAATCGGCAGGCCATGGGGCCCCTGCTGGAGGGAGTCACCCGAGACTTCTGGATCTCCTTCTTAGAGTGCCCGGCGTAAAAAGTCGCTATATGATAGACAGTTTACATACTTAGAGGGAATCACTGTAGTAGGGTGGAGACTATGTTTTAAAGAAGTAAAACTTCCACAATAAGAATACATAGTCTTAAATTGGAGGGGCGAAGGTTTCACAATTGTACCCGGATGTATTACGTTAACAGAAGGGTAGCGAATGCATGGACTAGCCTTCCAGCTGAAGTGGTAGAGGTTAACACAGTAGAGGAATCTAAGTGGGTGTGGGATATGCGTAAGGCTATCCTAACTATAAGATAAGCCCAGGGACTAATGTCAGTGGTTAGAAATTTGGGCAGACTGGATGGGCTGAATGGTCCTTATCTGCCGTCACTTTCTATGTTTGTTTCTAAGTCTGTGCTCGACTTCCTGCAGATGGTGCTGGATGAGCTCCTGCGGGAGTTAGCTTTGGGGTGGATCACGGGGTCAGTTGTGGCCCCGTCGCTCCCCAAGTTGCAGGTCCCCCTTGGGCTTGGTGCCCAAGTAGGAGGCAGGGGATTTTCGTCTGATTCAATGTTTGCCCTGCCCTCAAGGGGTTTCGCTGAAAGATGTTGGGCATCCTAGGCATCCTTCGATGCTGCGGAATGCATGGTCGGGGCAGTGGGCTTTGCTAACGAAGGCCGACGTCGGAGCCGCGTTTCGCTTGTTGCCAGTTCATATGGATTGTAAGCCTCCTGCGTGGTGGGTTTGTGGTCAGTATTATGTGGCTACGTGCTTCCCTATGTGTTGTTTCTGTCCTGCTTTTACGTTGAGTGTGTCAGAGGTTTCCTGGAGTGGGTGGTGCAGCGGGAGGCAAGGATTGGCTCGTTGCTGCGTTACCTTGATGGCTTTTGTGTGTGGTACTCCGCTGACTTGACGACTCTTGCTCGACTCGGCGGAACTTTAGGGTCCTCTTAGAGCACGATAAGAAAGTGCGGCCCAGTGACGTGCCTTAGCTCCTTGGGTATCAAAATTGACTCTGTGACCATGGAGTGCTGGCTGCCACGGGATAAGGTTGAGAGGGTGTGGCGATGGCCAGGGGTCTGAGGAGGATGCAGCTGTGCAAGTTGCAGTCCCTGTTAGGGAGGTTGACCTTCCACTGCCAGATCAGGCTCATGGGGCAATTGTCCCGCAGGCACCTGGTGGTCGCTACTACCGGGACTGCGGCATTTTATCCGGCTCTGGAGGTCTGGGTTTCCTTCCTGACAGAGTATATTCGAAGGTCATCTTGGCAGGTGCCGGAGGTGTCCAGTTCGGACTTGCCCCTCTATACGGACGCGGCTGGTTCTGTCTGGTTGGGGCAATTCTGGGATCGCGCTACTGTGCTGACATGGTCGGCGGCTTGACCGGGAATCTTGCCTTCCTGGAGCTTTCCCGTTGTGGTGGCATTGGATTTATGGGGTTGGGAGCTACAGGACAGTCAGTAGTTATTCACCGTGCCAACCTCTGGGTTGTCCAGGCGATTAGCCAGTTCTCGGTCCCCCTTTTTCTCTTTTGGTACTTCCCCTGCTCCAGCGCCTGGTGCTACGGTGCCCGTGTCTTCATATGTCGTATAGGTCCGGTTCCTATTGGGCCAAGGTACTCCAGGGTATGGGTGGAATGGCAGGTGCAGGAGTCAGAGATGGATGTATTTGCGGGTTCGCCTGCTCGTTTCAAGGTCTGTTGTGACTGCTGGAGCGTTGGGTTTCGGCGGATATGTCTCCCTCTGGGGTGTCCTTGCGCGTGTCCAGTTTAGCTTTCTGGTTAAGTCCCAGGGTTGGATGGGGGTCACCACGGAGTTTCTGGTATGGCATGCGGTGTAGGGCCCGTGCAGGGGTCGATTTCTGTGGATCCAAAGAGGACGGTTTTGGGGGCCCTATGGGCACAATTGTGCCAGGTGCTCCCAGAGGTATGCCTCGCGTTTCTTCATTTCTTTGGGGCCATGAGGATTGGGGTATTGGTGGGTCCGAACTGGTCAGCCGGTAGGGGAGGATTCTCTTTGCGGATGTCCGGGATGGCCAGGACCCGGTGTCCGTCAAGACTCGTCCATTCAAGACCGACATCCTTTGCAAGGGCAAGTGGGTCCCGCTGGCAGCGGTCCCAAGATTGGACGCCTGTCTGGTCTGGGCGCTCAGGGAGTCCGCAGTACAGCCATACCAGGCTGGCCCGATCATGGTACACGAGGAGGGGAACTCCCTCTCCCATTTTCAATTTGCTTGGCGGTCATTCTTTCCGCATTGGCGCTGCAACGGAGGCCTCTCGACTGGGTATGCTGACTCGGGATGTGCGGAGGATAAGAAGGTGGGACTCTAGGAGATTTGTTCCGGTGTGCAGGACGCTGGTTTGCTCCGTTGATTGTTTTTTTTTCTTCTCAGGGCGGATGATTGAGCACTTGATCAGCGCCGGGGGCGACGTGAAGTGGGTCTGGCTCCTCCCGAAAGTGGTCAGGTTCTCTCGCTTGCGGGGGAGTGTCATAGGTTCTGGTCATTCCCCCTGGGGGGGTACTGACCTAGGGACGGTGCTGCTCGGAGACTTGGTGGACATAGGGAAGCGGGACTTGTCCCAGATCCTTATGTCATTTCCGGGGGTTTTTTGCATGGTATGGTCGGAGGTTGTGGTGAGGTACAATTGGCGGCAGGCACACTTCTGGAGTGCGTTGGAGCGCTGCCGCGACGGGTTCAACCGTTGGGTTTCGCGGTTCGTTATAGGGGCTTGGGGGATGCCCATTTCATCAGGTTTTGAGAAGGAGGCGGCAGATTTGTTGCGGCTGGATGGTGTTCATTTGACTGAGGTCGGGCTCGACAGTTTTAATCTGGCCATTCTAGAGATGGTGGAACAGGCCATGGTTGGTTTGTTTGGGGTCCCCCGCTGATTTTAGGCTTAAAATAGCGGGGTTGTGGCGATGGTGTGTCCTTGCCAAATAAGGGATGGTTTGGTAGATTGGATGAAAAAGGGGGATAATGGCCGGGTCTCATCCACCCGTCTCTTATGGTGAACCTGGAGAAGGTACTAGGTTGGACGTGTCCCCACTGGGTTGTAAGTCGACCAGTGGGGAGCATTATGGTTGGGCCCCATCGAGTTGGTGGGGAGCCCTGAAAAGGAAGATGTTTTTATTATGCCGAGGGGGGAGGTGAGAGCCTTGGGGAAGTTAGATTGGCAAGGACGGTTTCTTTGGTTACTGTATGACTATATGCAAATTGTTTGTTAACTTATGATATTTATTATTTCGTTATATGTTAAAGGAGTCATACAGTATTTGGTTGTGTTAATAAATGCTTTGGCCGGTTTTCTCCAAGAAGTTGTCTGTTGTTATTTGAAGGGGTAAGTTATGGTTTTATGGGGGATGAAGGGAATACTATCCAATGCCCACTACGTACATATGTGTAGTGTGTGTATAGTGAATGCAGTGTGTTTGTGTAGTGTGTGTGTGTGTAGTGAATGTAGTGTGTGTAGTGAGTGTAGTGTGTGTGTGTGTGTAGTGTGTGTGTGTATAGTGAATGTAGTGTCTGTGTGTAGTGTGTGTGTGTGTATAGTGAATGTAGTGTTTGTGTATAGTGTGTGTGTGTATAGTGAA